GACCTTTAAACATTTGTGTTTCTCTTCTCTGGATCCTCTCCAATTTCTCCATCTTTCCTAAAATGTGATGACCAGTTCTGGTCACAATGCTCTAATTGAGGCCTAATCGATGCAGAGTAGAAGAATTACTACTTGTCTTATTCACAATGCTCTGGTTAATGCATGTCAGAATCATGTTTACTGCTTTTTTTTTTCCTCCAGAAGTGATACACTGTTGATTCATGTTTAGTTTGTGGTCCCGTATGACTCCTAGATTGTTCCTTCGTATCAGTTTCACACATACACAATGGGAAAGGACAGTCTAGGAAAGAATACTGAAGAAACAAAGTGGCATACTTTACATTTCTCCTTATTAAACTTCATCCTATTTACTTCAGACCATTTCTCCCGTTTGTCTAGATCATTTTGAATTATGACCCTATCCTCCACAGCATTTGCAATCCCTCCTACCTTGGTATCATCTAAAACTTAATAAGCATACTCTATGCCAATATCAGAATAGTTGAAGATATTGAACAGAACAGATCCCAAAACTGAATCCTGCAGAACCCCACTTGTCATGCCCTTCCAGCATGATGCTGAACCATTATTAATGACTCTTGAAGAATGGTTATCCAATCTGTTATGCACCCACCTTATAGTAGTCCCATCTAAGTTGTTCCGTAGTTTATTGATAAGGTCATGGAAGACTGTATCAAAGATATGCTTACTAAAGTCTAGCTACACTACATCTACTGCTTCCCCCTTATCCATGCTAGACCACAGATGTTTCCAGACCAGAGAGTGCTGGACTAGAGAGATTCAATCTGTACTACCATTAATATGAGTATAGGTATGTGAAGGAGCATAATAGTTTTTGTTAAGCCTCTTAGGACACCCAATGTGAACTACAGTAAAACTCCAGTGGTCTGGCATCTGATGGTCCGGCACTCCTGATGGTCCGGCACCATCAGGAACCCAGAAGTGCTCCGGGCAGCCGGACCATTGGAGCTGCTCTGCCCCCAGCTTCCCCAATTCAGCTGCTGCTAAAACTGACCAGCGTCTGAATCGGAAAAGCCGGGGCAGAGCAGTTGGGGCGCTGCCGGGTTGGTCCTGTAGCACTGCCCCTCGGGGCTGTGGGACTAACCCGGCAGCACCCCAGCTGTCCTCGATTCAGCCGCTGCTGAAACTGATCAGCGGCTGACTCCAGGAAGCTGGAGGCAGAGCTGCTCTGCCCCGGGCTTCCTGGAATCAGCCCCTGATCAGTTTCAGCAGCAGCTGACTTGAGGACACGTGGGACAGAGCAGCTGGGGTGCTTGCCAGGTTGGTCTCGCAGTCGGACCAACCCGGCAGCACCCCAGTTGCTCTGCCACAGGCATCCCCAATTCAGCTGCTGCTGAAACTGACCAGCACTGGCTGAATCGGGGACGCCTGGGGCAGAGCCGGCCTATCGGAAGGGGGGGGCTATGACGGGTCTGGGGTGGCATCCCCCACCCCAGACCCCTCGTAGCCCCCCCTTCCGATAGTCCGGCAAATCTGATAATCCGGCACCCCCTGGATCCTAAAGGTGCCGGATTATCAGAAGTTTACTGTAGATGTTTCCTCAAGATTGAGCTAACTCAGAATCTGAGTAGTGGGGTAATAAATAAAAAACATGCTTTTCATCCTAAAGAACTGGACTGAGTGCTTATTAAGACACCTCCATGACTTTTTTGAGTTTATCCTGGCATTGAAGGAAAACCACAAAGGCATGTACAATTTCCAACTACTTGCTCAGATGTATAACAACTGAATCCCTAGCAGTTATTTAAATGTGAAACAATGAAGATGGGAGCAGCTGAATTGTCAACTTAATGTAGGAAGATCGGAGCTGCAGTAGATTTCCACAGGTCTCTTTGGAAAAAAAATTGTCTATGGTTTGTAGATGTTTGTGGTGGAGTCGTCTTGTTGTTTACTGTCTACCTCTATAAAGATGGGGGTAGAGAAAATCCTGAGCTGGAATAAATTACCCATACTCCATAGACACCAGTTGAAGAGCTTGTCCAGAATGTTAATTTCTACTCTTCTCCTTACCTCCAGCTGCAGCTCTGGTCTCTCTACCCTGATGCATTCTCAGGCTACATTTTCAGTTGCATTTAACATTATTGTGGTGATCTCTATCTGCAGGGGTTACACACCCGTCAATACATCTCAATAATGATTGAAATGTATTCAAAGTGATTTTCAATACTGATTGGTGATTACCTTGCAGGTCTGTTTAGAGGCATTTATATTGATATACACACATGCTGGTTTGATATACGTAGTCCTCTAAATTGTAAAATCTTTCTACTGAGGCTTCTAGGTACCCATTCAGGGAAATCACTTATCAGAGCACTATACTAAACTAAGTAGACTTCTATTTTAATTTTTTTTTATTTTTTATTTTACCACATGCTAAAAAAGTTTAAGTTAATTGTGCCACCAGTGTAAAATAACTTACCCGTAACTACGGTCTGTGTAACTTAATATCTAACTTCTAGATTTCGGGAGCCCAAACTGTGGCACATGAGCCACATGCAGCTTGTGGAGCCTTTCCCATTCTCCCCATTAGACGAGGGTAGGGAGCTTGGGACCTCTGCCTTGCAGTGGGGTTGGGACTTCTGTGCACTAAGAAGGGGGGGAGGGGGCATCTCAAGGATTCAGCCTCACAGGGTGCATCTGCCAGGGCTTAGAGCTTCAGCCCTGTTTCTATTGAAGTGCAGAGCTCTTTTGAAAAGATGTCCCTTCCGCAGCAACAAGTTGGGTGAGATAACAACTATGTCCCTTCAGCAGTGGCAGCTTACTAATCGCACAGCAAGAAGCAGCAAAATAACCACCCGACTTGGAAATAAGCTGTAATTGGTCAGGTATAGACACAGGAGCTTCTGCTTCTTTGGGCTGGCTGAAAGAGTCATTCTGTGAAGGGACTTACATGATGACTTTCCAGTGGTGACTATAGTATGTAGATGATCAAAGGTCAGCTTCTGAGTGTATGACTGCAAATAGTCACATGGAGAAGAGTCACTATTAAAATGAACAATAGGGATATTTAAAAAGGATCTTTTTAAAAAAAATCTTATTCCATTGCAGTAGCACTGACTTCAGCACTTCTAATATAACATACTCCAACACAATGTGCTTTTGAGCCTACAAGTGGTGCATACTAGCCCTCATACTTGCATTTCTAAAGACACTATCCAAAGTCCTGATGTCATCTGTGCTGGCGTAAATCTGTGGGACTGCAGCTGAATGAAGTCAGGGAAGTAATTCCACCTTTGCACCAGTGCAACTAAAAGGATAGTCTATCCTGGTGTCTCTCATGCAAGTGTATTCTGCTGTTATACTGCTGTCTTGCAACACTTCGGGGAGTGGGGGGTCATGAGATGTCATACAACTGGAATGCCAAGTTATTACAGTATTCATTTCTAAATACAGGCATTCCCCGACTTACGTGGATCCGACTTGCGTCGGATCCGTAGTTACGAACGGGGCTTTTCTCGCCCCGGAGGACACGGGTGGCGGGACCGCCCAGACGCGCCACGGTCCTGCCGCCCGCGTCCTCCGGGGC